GATGGGAGATTGGGAATTGGGAATTGTTCCCTGGCAGGGTGGGGAGGGGCTGGGATGGAATTCCCAGAGCAGCTGTGGCTGCCCCTGGATCCCTGGCAGTGCCCAAGGCCAGGTTGGACAGGGCTTGGAGCAGCCTGGGATGGTGGGAGGTGTCCCTGTCCCTGGAACTGGATGAGTTTTCACATCCCTTCCATCCTAAACCATTCCATGATTTGTTTTTAAGTAACAGCCTAATATTGGCAAAAAAACCCCAACCTACAGAGACATTTCTCTCAAGGCCTCTTGTTCTCTAAGCTAGATAAATACAATGCTCTTTTTTTTTTCTTCTAAGCATTCAAACAACACCAAAAAACCCCCAAGAGGAGATCAGTTCCCCCTTTTTAGAGAGTCACAGGTGTGTGAGTGCAGGAGGGATGCTCTGCAGGCCGTGTGTGCAGCCAGCCCTGTCCCAGGAGCTCAGGGCAGGATTACCTGACTGCTCAATCACTGCTGCTCACTTTGGCTGCCAGAGGAAAAGCTGCTTATGGCAAGATTGTACTTCAAGACTTATCAAGATATTTCACATGAGAACTGGGAATTCTGTTGATAAGCCCTGTCTCACAGTCACATCCCTCAAAGAACAAAATAATCTGTTTGCTGTCTGGGCTTTCCATGCAGCCTCAGAAGTCCCTTCTCTCTCTTCCTCCCCTCAGGCACCCCTGTAATCCAGAAATGCAATATATGACCAAGGCAGCAGTATTTTAAAGCCTTCTGATGGGCTGCTGATTTACAGGGATGTGCTGGAAACTCTTGTGCACCTTCAGAGGGGAGTTATTTCCTGGCTAGAGACTAAAGGCATCAAGTAAAATTAAATCCAGCACCTAAGGACCAACAGGATGCTTGCCTTGATTACAAAGAGTTTATTTAGTCATTGGGAGGAGCTGTGAATTGGACACAGCTCAGCCCTCATTCCACTGCCCTCTGGAATGCTTTCACACTTTGGTGTAAATGTGGGACAGCACAGATCCTGAGTTTTGACTAATTCTGAACAAAGTTGTCTTTGTTTGGAGCTGGAGCTTAGGCAGGAAAACAATCCCAAGTAAGTGAGCAACTTTGTTTTATCTCAGAAGAAAAAAAACATAGATTTTTTCCCTTGCTTTTTTCTGGTTTTCCCTTCCAAATCTTTAAATGTATTTTACTTTGTCATTGGGTGCTGTTTCCTTCAGGTTCACCTCACAGCTGTGTTGTAGTAGGTGTCACATAGCAGTTTTTGAGGATCTGAGTCTCCTCAGGGTGTATTTTCACAAAGACCATGGTGCAGCTTAGCTCTGAGCCCAGGGCAATACAGGAAAACAGAATGAGCAACTTGTGTCACTGAGAAGACATGAAAATACCTCTCATTTGTTTGATCAGGAGGAGAAGAAAAATCATCAGATATAAATAATATCCTTAAAGACCTCAAAAATTCAGGTGGCTGTAAAATCATGTGGGTGGTTTGGCACTGCTGGCCTGGCAGAAATTTCCTCCTGTTCTTGTTGTAGTTGGTTTTGGTCAGTTCTTCTCTTATCTTTCCATGTCTCTCCATAAACTAAATTTGAGAAGAGAGATGAAGCTAAAAAACAATTAAATGTGAAGCTAAAGCAGTGTCTTATCCAAATCACCCAGTTTCTATTTAATGTCATTTCCAGCTCCTGCTCTGGAGCTTTTCAACAGCAAAGACTTAAAGCAGACTTTGACAATAGGACATGTTTTACAACTCCCAACTCTATAAATAAATAAAACTGAATGTAAAAAAGGGCCTTGGGTTTATTCCCTGCTTGAGATGGGACTTAGAAATACAAATGTGAGCACTTGCACTCAGCAGTTGGAAGCAGGAGAATCCTGGGGTCCAGTGGGATTTCTCAGCTCTTGGCAGTCCCAAAGTGCTTCCAGTTGGAGCACAGTATGCTGACCCATTTTAGCACAGACACATTAATAATCCAAATAATTAATAGTCCTAATACAGTGCTTGGAAGGCAAGCAATTAATCATTGTCAGAAGGATGGAAATTCCTCTTGTTAATTTGCAGTTGGCCTTGGAGGTGCTGGCATCACCCAGTCCAAAATACACAACTCAGGTTCCTAAGAAGTCCTGGTGTTGGGAGAGCTGGGCTCTGGTCTGGGCTCTGTGATTGAAGCTCTTTGTGGCCCTGGGCAAATTGTTGCCTTCCCTTTTCCCTTTCTGTAAAATGGGATGAATAAACTGGTGGGTTTGTTCCCAACCCATGGGATTCAGGATTTGGGGAATGGCTCAGGGGCTGCTGTTGCAGGTGCTGCTTTGAGCATCTTCCCATCAAATAATGTAGAGTGGAAACAACAACAAAAAATAACAATAATTTGGGTTATTGTTGCTGGGTATTGCTGCTGATGGTGGGGATTAGGATAATGTCAGTGCAAATTGTCTGGAATGTGAATACTTTGGAATTTCACAGCAAAGACTGTGGCCTGGACCTGCATGCACCCATGGAAATGCTTTTTCAGGGCTAAAAATGTCCTTCTTTGGGAAGTTTTGGTTTGGCTTTGGTTTTGTAATGTAGTGGTTTGAGACAGTCATAAAAGCTGCCAGCATGATTCTGTTGAGGTATGATCTTAGTAGTGTTTTTCATTTATAATATAAAATAAATCATAAAATACTTTGTCTAGCCAAGAGTGCTCCATCCTTGGAAGTGTCCAAGGTTGGAGCACCCTGGGATAGTCAGAGGTGTCCCTGTCCATGGCATGGGGTGGGACTGGAGTTTCCAGGTGTCACAGCATGGTGAGTGGCAGTGCTGAATGAGAAACCCATTTTTTATGTGAAATTCAGGAGTTTGTGCAGCCAAAACCCAATAAATTTACTGCAGAGCATGGAAGTCTGCAGCTCTGCTTCTCCAGCAGTCCTGCAGTAATTTTTATTATAAGACAATTATGATTGTTGTGACCTTCTGCCCCCTCCTTCTCCCTCTAATGAGTTTTCCTGGATTAGCAAAGCCTCATTAACTCGAGTGAGACTTTGGGAAATACGTAAATAAAAATTAGGTGTTGTGAAAACAGCGTTTTATTGATCTGAGCAACAACATTTTTCCTTAGGTTCGTGCTGGAGCCCCTCCTGCCAAAAAAGATGCATTCTAGGTCGCAAGATAAATTGGACAAGGATGACCTAGATAAAGATAAAAAGGAAAAGAAGAAGGAGAAGAGGAACAGCAAGCATCAAGAGATATTTGATAAAGAATTTAAATCTACTGATATTTCTCTGCAGCAGGCTGAAGCAGTGATCCTTTCAGAAACGGTAACTTTATTGGCAAGGAAAGATTTATCTAATTCTGAGCCTTGTTCTCTCTCTCTTTTGAAATCAAAATGTTGATTTTTACTGTTTAGTTCCTCTGTAGACCAGGAATAACTCTGAGGGGATATACCACAGTGTTAATATACATGCTAATGAATCAAAAATACAGATTTGATTTACGGTGGGGAAAAGATCCTCTGATAATCTTCACCCCAAGCTCTGTGTGACTGTTTGATGAAGGAGCAGATGGCACAGCATAGCTGAAATAAATGCTGCCGTCCCAGCAGCCTTTGGAACAGTAGATTGGGGTGGATTTGCTCATATTTCAGCTGCAGGACAGTGTTTGGTGGGACATTCCAAGGTCATTCTGTCGGCAGTTGCGTGTCCTTGAAGGGCTGTTTGGAGCAGAAAATCCTGAGCGGTTTCTGTGTGTAAGAATATTAAAACCAGGGCATATCTCCCTTAAACCCTCTCTTCTTGGCTTAGATTTAATTCACTGGAACTGTCCTCAAGGCTTAGGTAACCTGAGACGTTGGAGCTGGGAAATTGAAAGCAGGGATGTCTAAAGCTGGAGCAGGAAAAGTGTGAACTGACTGTGACCTCCAAATCTCTGCCTGGACACCTGTTTGGAGGCCAAGAGTTTAAAATTGCCTCCAGAAAGAAATGGAATGTTCTTTTCAAGATATGCACAAGTTCTTGTAGAACCAGCTTTGCACTCAGCAGAGTCTTGCTGGTGCTGTGTCATTGACATTGGATTTTGAAACTATTTCTCTGTCACCTGTGATAAGTGCATCCTTTCATTCTTTCTGTTGGGTATTTATAGGAAGATGCTATTTACATGTTCAGCCACACTTCCTCTGTTTTCTGGATTTTGCCCTCCTTTTCCACTCAGAGATGAGTTAATCTCTCATACATGTCTTAGGACAGCCTGAAAAATCAGTTTTTCTATTTGATATGCCCAGTCAGAAACTCCAATAAAATCCCATCTGGGAGTCTCAAGCTTTTCACCTTTGAAACCAGTGAGTTTTTCTGTTGACTTCAGTGAATTTTGTATGAGCCTTGGTTTGGTTAAATGGAGATTCCTCCTGCACAGATTTCCACGTCTCGTGGTTTTGCTGCCGTGCACTTTTGCTTTGCACCTTGCAGCAGTTGTGTTTGGACTGATTGAGGACTGGGATCACCATGGCAGGACTTCCACTGGCATCTCCCAGATCCCAAATGGACCAGCAGAGCTCGTGGGATGTCACAGAAGAAGGAAATTGTATTTCAGGGCAGCTGAGCCAGTTGGAGCAGTTGAGAGGCATCCAAGGATGCCAGGGAGCTGGCTGGTGTCACTGCGAGGTCACTTGCAGCTCTCAGAGGTCTTGGACATTGGAAAAGCTTGTTCATGACAGGAAAAATGCAAATTCTAGCTGGAAAGGAGGCCAAGATAACCTCTCAGGGCATATTCCCATTTGGCATCCGAGGAGCAAAAAATCAGCAAAGCCCAACATGGTTTGACTCAAGTTCTCCCAATCTTCCCAGTCAGGAGCTTTCAGTGGCTGACTGGTGTGAGCAGTATTCCCCTGTTATGGAGAGGGAGGCAAATTAAATGTCAGAGCTGGTTACTTACAGTTATTTTGAGCTTCTTCAAGTCCACAGATCAATAATATGAAAAGGAGTTTGCTGTTGAGAGAAAAACTCTCCCTTTTCAGCCTCTGCAGAGCTCCTTGATGAGCTCCAAGACGACTGAGTCAATTTGGAACGTTTGGTGTGAGTGGGTTCATTTCTAGGTGAAGCAGAAGAAACTCTTTTGAGATCAGTTTACACGAGTGTTTGCCCAATTCCCACTGCTGCTTTCTGGAATTTTGAACAGATAATATCAAGGATGAGTTTAAAGATAAAATTTGTCTTAAAATTTTGCATGCTGGAGGCATCTCCTGTTAATGAAGCGAAGGGAAATTTGGTAGAAATTCAACTTTCCCTATGTTCAACATTTGTGTGCAAGTTCCCTTTTTAAGATGAAATTACTCCCAAAGCACTTCTACCACTGTGCTGTATGAAGAAAAAGACATTTTGCTTTTTCCTGCATTCAGACTTGGAAGAAGAAAGTTTGCTGGATTAAAAGTGGTGGAAAAAAAAGATTGATTTTTTTTTAAAAGAAAAGTTGGGAGTACAGATTTGTCTAGAAATGGAAATTAAGCTTTAAAAATTTCTAAAGTGACATTTTAGTAATTAATACTTTTAGTTGCTAAAATTTTTATTACAGATACTGGATTCATTGTGCTGAGAATTTTACAGCTCGTTGTGCTGTCACTCATTCAGTTAAAACATTTCAGTCATTTGGTGAAATTTTTAAAATAGATTCTTAGTTCTGACTTCTGAAATATTTGGGGATTTTACAGCAGAAGACAAATTTCCAGAGAAAATCAAGTGAGAGAAATGCCAGTGGCCATCCCCATCTCTGCAGAGCTCCTGCTGCTCTTCCCAACAATGATGTTGTGTAAAGAAATGAGTGTTTCCAGTCTTTTATGGGATCTTCTTTTTTCCAATCAAATGAATCACCGTAGAAGAACATGGGGGAATTCTAAAACTGCAGAATTACTTCATGGAGCCTTTAGGTTTGCACGGAAAAGGAGCATTCAGAGGCTGTGTCATGGAATGGTTTAAATACTCTTCCCCAAATTTCACTGCACTCACCATGAATTTATTGCCTGATCAAACCCCAGGCCTTAATTACATAAAAACAGCAAAGATAAATCAAGCACTTGAGTATGTGAAGATGATCAGGAATATCTTCATCGCTTCCTAGAGATATATTATCTTCTTTTAAGTATCACATCAACTTCTTCAACATAAATTGTCCTTGTTAGTGCTTTGATCCCAGGAGCTGAGAGCAAACCCAGCTCTGAGGCCAGGTACTTAGCAGAGCACTCGGAGGCTGCTGTTGGAAATCAGAAGAACAGGCTGTGTTTTATTGATCTGGTGGTGTCTAACATCACTCACCATTGATCTGCCCTTGGCTAGACCAGGAAAAATTAGCAATGGCTTCATTATGGATTGGTGGCCTCCCAAGAGCACATATTCCTCAGCAGATCCGTGATTTGTGTGGAGCTTTCAGAGGAGGCCCAAGCTGTCAATCACAGGAGAAGTTCACATTTATTTCAGTAATTACAGAGTGAGTTAACTTGGGGACCTGCCTCCAGTTGGTTTTTCTCTTGATTCTGGCATGTTTCCTTCACCAATTAGCGTGTTTTCCTTAGTTGCTTTTTTATAATTATCTGCCCCTGAAAAAGTGGTTCCTTTGCTTACTCATTCTACTAAAAATACGCTTGAAAGCATGTGGAAAGCAGAAACCTTTGGAATCTTTAGAATTTTATTTTTAGCATCAAAACAATTTCTTAGAGGTCACCCCGAGGTCTTGATGAACTTTCCAAAAAAAGGTCCATACTTTTTGGTCAATCATTTGTTGTAGAAGGGTCTCACAGGCACATCTTTGATGTGAAGCCTTTTAGGGTTTGTTTTCTGAAAAAATTTCAGATTTCTCCTTCCCAATGTGCTTCATAAAACCCCAGACACTGGGAAATGACAAAATCGTTTGAAAAAGCCTGGATTGCTGCTGGCACTTTCTGTTTTGTCCCACTGAAGCACCTTGGAGTAATTCCCCTTTTAACTTCAAGATGTTGCTCCATTTTCTAGGATATGTTTGAAATAAAAGCTTCATTTTTTTCACTATGATTCCTGTTTCTAAGGGGATGGTGAATGGAGAAATTAGTAGAGCTTAGAATTAAAGTCAGGAAAAAGAATTGCCTTAACTAAAGCTTGAGTTGCCCATCAGATTACAAATATCTTTTGAGGGTTCATGATGGAAAATTTGAATGGATTATGAAGCAGCCAGAGCAAAGAAAAAAAAAAAATAGAGATATTTCAGTGAATTAAATACAAGCACAGTCAGGAGCCACCAAGAAGGTGTTTGTGAACAGATGATGTCTTCAGCAGAAGAGAGTTTGATGAAGAGTGAGTTAACTTGGGGACTTGTCTCCAGTTGGTTTTTCTCTTGAGTCTGGCATGTTTCCTTCACCAATTAACATGTTTTCCTTAGTTGCTTTTTTATAACTATCTACCCCTGAAAAAGTGGCTGCTTTACTTATCATTCTACTAAAAATATGCTTGAAAGGATGTGGAAAGCAGAAACCTGGTTAAATGGTTAAAGAGGTGCATTTTGACAGGAAAGTAGACTTGTGTGAGAAAAAATAAACCTTTTGAGTGCTGTGTATAATGTGGTGTGAAACTCTAAAGTTCCTCAGGTGTTACTAAACAAGTGGTTTGGGAATTAGCTCAGCAAACCAGACCAGGCTGGGAGAAGGGAGGACTCTGGAGCTGGGGATGAGCAATACTGGCTGTTAGCGCTGTCCTTTTCCTGCAGAGCATCAGACCAGCTCTGCCACTCGTTTCTCTGTGTTCCTTGCCCACCTCCCTGGTTCTGTCCCCCAGATCAGCCCCCTGAGGCCGCAGAGACCCAAGAGCCAGGTGCTGAACGTGATGTGCAGCGAGCGGCGATTCTCCGTGTCCCCGCCCAGCTCCCAGCTGACCCCGCCGCCCATCACCCCCCGCACCAAGCTCGCCTTCAGCATCCAGCCCAGTAAGTCTTCTCTCTGAAATAAACTCCTTTTTGGGGTGGAAATGGATGTCCTGAGCGTGTCTTCACACCATGGTGTGAGTTTCGCCATCACCAGGGTATTTCTTGCACCAGGGATTGGTGCCTCAGGTTCAGTTTTTTTTATTTTTCAGATTCTGTGCTGTTTTAGTGTGTGGGTCTGAGCTTCATATCAGGGGATGCTGAGCTCTCTGCACAGAGCAGGGAGACAAAACAATTCCTGCTCCAGCTGGGCACCAAGGACAAATGATCCAAACCTCAGCCCAGGAGCACAAACACCGTGGGCTGGAGAGAGAAAAACAAGCAGGGTGGGACTGGCTGGGCTGGAGCTGGAATGGGACAATGAACTCCAAGGTGCCAATGGAGCAGAACTGATCCCAGGGAGAGCCCCGGGAGCGCTCGTGCATTTTGGGACCATTTTGGGTCATTTGGGTGCAGCCCTGGCTGGGCTCTGGTGCTGCCCAAGGTGGATCCATGAGGAGATCCTGGAATAAATCCCTGCTTTGTTCTGTGACTCTGTCCAGCCTCTGTTATGGCTCAGCCTTCTCAAGGCATCAGTATTACTTAAGCTCTTACCTTTGCCAGCAAAAATTAATTCTATCTTTTACAAAAGCAAGCAGAAACAGTTTCTTTTCAAGTAATCATTAACAATTAATTAGGTGTAGAGTAACAGTCAAAAATTCATGTTGTACTTTATCCCATATTGAGTGTTTTGGAGCATAAAACAATATTTTTTGTAATTGTACATTAAAAAAACCTTCTTTTTGATATGCTGTGGGTACAAACCAAAAAGGAAAACAAAGGTCAGGCTTTTTAAAGTAGTTTTTGTTTGACATTGACATCTATCACTCAGCTTTTCTGTAAAGTATCATCTGTTTGCTTCAGTCTGCAGCAAACCCTATTGCAGAACTGGGTGTAATCCAACACCTATTTCTTTCCCAGTGCTCTTTCCCAAAAGTTGTTATTCAGAGTTTGCAGCTGTCAGCATGTGACAAAAAAGCAAAAAAAAAGATATTTTTGTTATATGTCCCCAAATCCTACTCCAGTGTTTAAGTTAGTAAGGAGGAGAGGAGGTGATCAGTCGTCAGAAAAAACTCTTGTTCCATCAAGGTCACTGCTTTGTGTAGTGGTTTTGGTACTTTAAAACTTTCTCTCTTAAACAGTCAGACACCCAGAGCAAATGTTTTGATTTCAATTAACTTGTAACTCTCACCTTCCTTTACAATTTTATAGTCAGAAATGAAAAACCAAAAATGCCAAAATCAGGGGATATAGAGAACTAGGTGCTGTATATTCCTGCAAAAGATATATTAATTGGATATTTTGTTCATATGTGCATTTTATTAACACTTAATTTGATTTCTCTTTTTAAAAGGTATCTGAAGTTAGCAGGTACTTCTGAGAATATTTTTGTGCTAGAGATTGGTGGGTGTTACATGAAATAGGATCAGCTTATTGCACCAGTCCAGAATCATTTCAGGCATTACAGTGATAATTTTTTTTAGGAATTCTAAGGATAAAGAAGTTCCTTCAGAGCCCAAATGGGCTAAAAGCAGTTATTGGGTTGCTAAGCAATCCTGGCTGCCTGTTAGCTGGCACTTGAAGAGAAGGGAGTGTAAAATGTGATCATTAGGGTAAGATGAAAAAAGGGTCCCTTAACTGATCCTTTGCCAGCTCCAAGATCTTCCCAGTGGCACATGTCCAGTAAGGAATAAATATTCAAAGCACACCCATCTGATGAACCACCTCGAATAATGAATTTCATTGAATAATGGGGAGCACACCAGAAATTTGGGGTAATTATTTGTATTGTGACCATCTTAGGGGGGTTTAGTTCAGCTGAGGAAAAAACAGATCTGCAGCAAATAGATTTTCTTGGGACAACACTGAGAATTCCTGAATTTGTTCAATACCTGCTGCAGGGTATTGTTCCCTGGATTTCACTGAATTCTGGGAAAGATCAAATCATTGTTTTTCAGGATAGAATCTTGTTGTTCCACTAAGCAGTTGCCAGATAAATGAAAACATGGTGCTCGTGTATTTTATGAGCTCTTCCCGTGGGTGGAAATGCTCTGCCCACATTTGCAGGGATTTATTTATTGTGATCCTTCATCAGGATGAGGTTGGGAAGGTGCCAAGGACAAGCTGCAGGAAATTCCAGCTGGAGCAGGAGCTGGGGGATGTAGGGAAAGGGGGCAAAGCAGAGCAGGACATAACTGCATGGACAGCTGGGTTCCATCCAGGTTCTTCAAGCAGAGTTGCCTCCACACTTTGTTCCCTCTCCAGCTCTGCTGAAAACATTGCTCAGATCTTTCCCAAAAACCTGCCTTTCCATGGATCTTCCAAGGATCTGTTAAAAGAAACAAATTATTTGGGTTATTCCTAACAAAATGGGTCTCGCCATCCTCTTGGGAGCACCTTGGCTTAGGTGAAATCAGAAGTTTTATCATGGAAGAAGTGAAATCTTGTTAGTTGAAAAAATATCACATAGAATGCAAATTTGAATTGCTCAGGGGGGTTACATTTACTTTATTTTTGGGAAATTGTGTGTTATTCTACTCAATTTCCCAAGGAATGTCTACAAAGAGGTCTAAAAAACATGGGTTGTTTTTAGTAAATATGGAAAGAGTTCTCTTTCTGAAGCAGGGTTCAAGGTTTTGCTAAAGCTCTAACTAAACACACAAAAGAAAATAAAATGTAATTTCCCAAATGTTTCCCTGTATTATCCCAAACTGCATGGAAAAACCAACCAAAAATTCAGATATCAATATACTTAGCTAAGATATAGATGTTTAGTAGTGGGGGAGATGTGCAGGACCAAGGAGTTGTTTTGTGACATGGAAGATCTCAGATTTCTGAGTTCTTGAGAATGGATGGGGAATTCATCCAGAACGGACAGGAAAGTTCATTCCCAGAATCAATTTTTAGTTACAAATGCACAGCGTGGTTTCCCAGCTGCAGTTCAGGTCCATGAAGAAGGAGATTCTCATGGAGATCCAGAAAGAAAACTCTTGGGAGGAAACTCTGGGGAGTGGAGAAATCCTCCCTGTTGAGAGGGAAGGATAAAAAACAGGAGCAGTGGGAAAAGCAATGAGAAATTCAGTCCTGGTGGACAAACAACATTTTCAGCCTATTGGAGAGGAAGCCACTGAAAATGTGGAGTCCCAGGATGGAAAATAACCTTTTTTCCAAGTAGTCAAGAGTTCAGGTGGAGGGATGAGGAGTAAAATTACAGTTTTCAGTGACAAATCAATAGAGCCACCTTAGAGTTAAATTGTGTAGTGCGAGGCCATTGTAGAGAACAATAAATTCACACTTTTAATAAAATATTGATACGAGCTTTGCAATAAAAACATCTGCATAAACAAATCCTCTCTTGTTCCACAAATTACCCCAGTAAAATAAAATAGAAATAATATTTTTTTCCTAAATAAAATTCCCTCATTTATAAACAAATCATTTCAGTTTCTTATCTCATAGAAATCGCAGTGGGTTTTGTTAAAATGGCAGAATTAAAATGACTGTACTAAAATGAGTGAATTACCCTGAAATACACTGTGGGGGGATTTCTCCCCAAAAACCTATGTATCACTCAGGCCTCAATAAACTTTATTGTCCCTCAGGCTATTTGCCTCTCCAGCATATACCTGGGAGGATTTATCTGCTAAGAAAAGGGAATTTTCTACCCAGCACACAGGAATAATAAATGCTTGGTACTTTCTCGTGCATGATTTTATTTACTCAACAACTAATGGCTGCTCATTTGTTATAGTTACCTGGAGCCTGAAAGTTTTGGAGAGAGATGTACTTAATTCCAGGCTTTCATTTGTGCATTTTATTAAAACAGAGCTTTTATTTTACTGGGAGAAAGTCAATAAAACTTAGCCAGAGTATATTTTCTTTGTGCACTTTGCAAAACTTTTATTGTGTTTTAATGTATAAGGTGAGCTTGAAGGTGGGATAATTGTATTTACAGAGCTATTTTGGATATTTTGGTGGGAAACATGAGACAAAAAATATGTTTATTAAAAACAGGGTGTTGTTCGAGTATTTTGAGGGTGTTTTAAAGTGAGTCCAAGGCCAGGTTAGACAGGGCTTGGAGCAACCTGGGATAGTGAAAGGTGATGGTGGAAGTCCATCGTTGTTGGAATTTGGTATTGAGATGATTTTGAGATTGTAGAAAGTCTCTGTTAGCTTTGCTGCTAAAGAAGAAGTGTAATTAATCTGTTCTGGTTTCAAGGTTGTTTATTCTGTTTATCTCTCACATGTTCTGCTGCCCTGCCCAGCTCTGTCCTGCAGGGCAGCGTGTGGGGCTCTGCCCTCAGTGGGATGTGACAAACATTAAATACCAGAAACTCCCTGGGCTGGATTTACAATAACGTGCCAATATCTGTCACCTACGTTGGACAGTGTGTCCCCAGCCTGAACCAACAGAAAAATGCCAACACCACAGTGAGACATGGAGGGCATGAAGGAGGAGAAAAAGGACAAGGCACACCCAATTTCCTCCATCTTGTCCTCTTTGGACCCCTCATCTAGAATCCTAAAATTTTACTTCTGTACACATCACCCGTGACTGGATGATCCACGAGGTCCCTCCCAGCCCAACCCATTGTGGAACTGTGGGATTCAGCTGCTGGCAGAGTTAACCCAGTGTTGTTTTTTGCAGATCTGGAGCTGAACGGGATGTCCAGCTCCGACATCTCCGACGTTCCCCCTCCTCTGCCCCTCAAAGGAAGCACGGCCGACTACGGGAACCTCATGGAGAGCCAGGACTTGATCAGCCCCACCACGTCCCCCCCTGCCCACCAACGGGTGAGTCCCAGAGCCCCATCCCTGCTGAGCCCTGTGTGCCCTGAGCCATGCCAGGGGAGCTGCCATCCTGCTCCTGCATCCACCAGCTGATCCATAGGGGCTCTGCAGTGTCACCAGGACCTGGAGGGAGGAAAGTTGGGCTCATTCTGGGCAATTCCAAAGCCAGATGTTGTCAGGTTTGTTGGGCAGGGAGCTTTCACCAGCAGGAGCAGCAAATTGGATTGAAAGCCTTTCAGTCCTGTGTCAGGAAAGGAAATAAAACATGGACCTGCCACCTTCCCTTCCTGGAGCTCTGCTCTGCCAACCTTCAGTCACCACTCATTTATTTCCCTCAGTCACCACTCATTTATTTCCTTGAGGCAAACTCGTGTCCCCTTTGAGGCAAGGAGCTCAGAAACTCTTCATCACCAACAGGCTTTGCAGCTTTCTGAGGAAAATTCTCTTTTTCAGCTTCGTTTCCTGTAGCTGGAAGCTTTTAAAAATAATGTGGTCCTTTTCCTTAAAGCAGCACTTTTGAGAAATGCCTTTTACTTTCTTTATGGGCAAAAAAAAACATATTTAAAGGGGTGTGGAGAGTTGATCCTGCCCCACCGAAGATTCTCCATCACTCCCCTCCTCAGTGGGCAGGCAGAGAAAATGCAGTGAAAGTGCCATGGGTTGAGATAAGGACAGGGAGAGATCCCTCACCCCTTGCCCTCAAAACAGGCTCCACTTTGGGAAATTAATTGAATTTATTACCAATCAAATCAGAGTAGGGCAGTGAGACCCCACGAGGTCATGAGTTTCCTTTGACTTTGAAATGCCAAATTTTGATCGAGCTGTTTTGTGGTAAAATTCCGTGCAGAATTGATCCCTTTTGTTTGCAGAAGTGTCATCCAGGATTCCTCTGAAGTTCACCATTCCAGTGAAATTCTGTAATTGTGTGGAGCAATTTGCTTTCCAGCAAATTTCATGGCGGCAGAAATGCAGAAATCTCAACAGAGGAGGAGTCAAGCAGGAATTTGGTTTGATCCTGGGGATAATTGTGTTTAACACAGATTGTCCCAGTACATGAGTCCAGCTTTTCCAGGGTTGAAATTGTGCCTTTGTTGTCGCAGGAACTGACTTTTTTGGTATTGTTTTACCATTTCAGGCTGAATGGTAAAATAAAAAATACAGATCTAGAAGTAACTTCAGGAGTGAGAATAGAGATATTCAAACCACCATCATTTTAGTCTTTATTTTCATATACTGAAAAATTCTCTATTCTAAGCCTCTCTTCTATAGTTGTTCCCCATGGCTGGATCATTTTAGTCAATATTTTCACTTTCCTTCTCATTTCCATCAAACTTTACTGCACTTCTAACCTTATAACCCATTTCCCCAGCATCTCTCTCAGGGGCCAGCTCTCATTTGCCCTGAATACAGCCCTCTAAGTGGAAAATTACAGAATGTACAGCAGGGCTGCCAGGAGGTTTGTCTAAGGAATCCATCTCCAGGAAGAAAGCTGAGAAATTCACATTAGGATTCACTTTTCTTCAACTCCTTCCTGCATAAACTCCTGCGTAGTAAATTCATTTTGTGTGATGTACTGTAAGGTTTAGGCTGTGGTAGTAGCTCAGGATTGCTAAAATGAGTTCAGATTTTAGCTAAGTATCAAACAGTGACAAGAAATAAAATCCTGGCAGCCAGGTGTTTTTTTTTTTTTCTGGCTGGTGAGGCTTTTGGAAGGGGTTTCCACTCTGGGGATTGATGTTTTTAGTTGCTGTATGACTCCCAAATGCCACGGGGGTGTGGTTTTGGGAGCCCATACCTGGGGATAAGTGAGCCTGATTTGCTCTGTGACCTTGTGCAGCTCCTGTACCTGCCACAAGCAGAATTTCCACATCATTAAATGGGAGTTCAGAAATATAGTACCAATACGCTCCCGTGGTTTTTTGCAAAGTTTTATTCAGCTCCTAATATTTTTCCTCTTTCCAGTCTTGATTGCTCAGGCTCCTCTCATTTTTTTAAACTACATTTTGTCTCTGTAGGAACATACCCCATTTTTTAATATCTGGCGTTGAAGGGCATCAGGATTTAATAGCTCAGGAATGCAATCAGATACAGGCTGCATCTTCTTATCTAACTGCCCACAATTTTCTTCAGCATCTGTGTTTTTATAAGCTTTCCAAGACCATGGAATGTGGTTTCAAAGCCTGGCAGAAGGATTTAAGGCAGAGCTGTCCCAGAGCCACCTGTCCTGTGCAGGGCCAGGAGTGGCACTCATTGATCCTTGTGTGTCCCCTCCACCTCAGCAGATTCTGTGATTCTGTATTGGGTTTGGAATTGATTTTGGAGAAGGCTTCTAATCTTATAACAATCACTCTGTGCCTTTATTTCATCAGGCTGGTAGGAAGGAAGCTTTTAAAGAACATCAAGAAAATGAGTAGTGCTGGACATGAAAGATCAGATGGGTGAATTCTCATTGCTGCCATGATTAAATCCCACTCCACAGTTTTAATGACTTATGTTTCATGGGTCAAATAGCTCCATAATTCATAACTGGATAATTCTCTGCCTGGTAAACTGATCATCTTTTAAATTACACTGCAGTTCTATCAGTGAAGAAAAATCAGTAAAACCTATTAGAGATAAGATTATCTCAGTAGCTTTTAAACTGGAAATATCTCGTCGTGTGAGGAATGATTGTGTTTTTCACTCTGGTTGTCTTGCAGTGGGTTATGAAAGGCAGGAAAAGTGCTGTAGTGAACTAAAAGCAGGCAGCCAGAAAGGGATCAGATGCTCCAAGTCAAACTGCAGGCAGTAATGTCATTTTTGAGACAGCAATCTCAGATATTCAGAGTCCAGTGTTACCTTGGTCTACCTGAACTCTTTAATCCAGGTGATCACCTCATCATTTCCTGATTGTCCCTTACTCTATGTTAATTCTGAGACCTGTGTAGGTATTTTCATGCTCCCTGCAATTTGTTCTAAAAAAAAAAAAATAAAAAAAATATGGGGAAAAAAAAAAAAAAAAAAAAAAAAAAATCTATGACTCCTGCAAGGATTATTATTACATCAAGGGATTCCTTTAGGCACTTATCATTTTTTATGGGTTCATCCTCACCCTTGCATACAAATCAACCTCCTGCTTAGTATTCAGAGCAGGGAGGCAGCTCAAAGAAAATAGATAAAGGAGCACTTGGGTTGCTAATATTGGCTATAACACTTCCAAAGCATGGGGTAATGGTTGGGATGGGAACATCTCCATCAATCCAGCACAGGTGGAACGTGGGGATGGCTGAAGCCTGTGAGAGCACAACAGCCTTGGGTTGGCTCTGGTGTGTGGGGATTGTTCTGGTTGCTCATTGGGATAAAACTGGATGATTTATTCAGCTCTAACACACAGAAGGCACAACCCAGGAGGATTTTTCATGTGTTGCAATGCAGGTGCTGCAGTGCTGGAAATTCTCTCTTCTAGCAGCTGCAGTGAGCAAAAACCCACCTTGAAGGCTTCAGCAAATGCTTGTCCTCATGTGGACAGGGACAATGAGGCTGGAAATGCAGCTGGAGCTATGGAGGAGCAGGAATTAGGGAGCTCAACTTGCTCCCTATCTGATCTCTGCTGGCTGTGAGCAGGGGCAGGAGCAGGGGGTGCCTGGAGCTCTGTCAGGGCAGGTTCAGGTTGAATTTCAGGGAAAAGTTCTTCCCCCAGAGGTGCTGGCACTGCCCAAGTTCCTCAGGGAATGGGCATGGCCCCGAGGCTGCCAGAGCTCCAGGAGCCTTTGGATAATGTGCCCAGGAGAAAAATCAAATGAAAATATGGGGTTTATTTGCCATCTGATCATTGTTTTTGCCTGCTGGGGGTGGGAAACCTTGCAAGCCTTTCCTCCTGTGCCAGTCTCTCACTCTTCAGTGGGTTAAGATGTTGCTGAGCAAAGAGTTTCTGAAAAATTCATTTACTTTTTAATAAGTCTCCAAGTCAATGGACTGCCACTGCTTTTTACAGGATTTTGAGTGAAACCTGTGTTCTCCTTCCTGCTGTCTGCCCAGAGATGTGATGTGTCCCCTGATTCAGATCAGGAGTGGCCGTGTCCCACTCTCCACACGGGATCAGGCCATGGTTTGGGCCATGCTGGTTTATCTCTCTTGCAGGACCTGGGCCTTCAGTGAGGAATGCAGGGTCAGTCTGGAGTCTAAAGTGAATTCTGAGTGTTTTGCTCATCACTCCTGAGTCTGTCTGTGCATGGACTGGGACGGGGAAGCAGCGCTGGGGAACTGGAGTATCATCCAGTGTGGGCACAAATACTCATGGTGTCCACGTGGAGAAATGTTCCACAGAGGGAAAGTGGCCTCAGAAATGTTCCACAGAGGGAAAGTGGCCTCAGCTGTGCTCCAGCAGAGCTGTCACACTCCAGGAGCCAGGTCCTCCCTGCAGGAGGGGTGCAGACCCCTGTCAGCTCCAGCTCTGCCCTCATCCACTGCCACTGTCCCTCACAAGCCTGGCAGAAATCATGGGGAAAGTCACAGAGTCACCAAACAGTTTGGGTTGGAAGGGACCTTAAACCCCATCCATTCCCACCCCTGCCATGGCAAGGACACCTCCCACTGTCCCAGCTGCTCCAGCCCCAGTGTCCAGCCTGGCCTTGGGCACTGCCAGGGATCCAGGGGCAGCCCCAGCTGCTCTGGGCACCTGTGCCAGGGAACAATTCCTGCCCAAAATCCCATCTAAATCCACCCACTTTCAGCCTAAAGCCATTCCCTGTGTCCTGTCCCTCCATCCCTTGTCCCCAGCCCCTCTGCAGCTCTCCTGGAGCCCCTCCAGGCCCTGGCAGAGCTCTGAGCTCTCCCTGGAGCTGCTCCTCTCCAGGTGAGCCCCCCCAGCTCTCCAGCCTGTCCCCTTTGATCTGCTCTGGGATTCTGGCCTGGAGCAATTCCACGTTGCCCATTTTGAGGCGTTTCTCCTGTTGCCCTGTGAGGGGCTGAGGGCTGGGAGCACACATCTCTGCAGAAGAACCCTTGCAGTGCCTCTCCCTGATCCCAGTGCACTCCAGCAAGGGCAGGTGATGCCTGTGCCACCGAGTCAGATGAGTCTCTAATAGATGATGGATGAAGCAGGGGCTACACAGTCATTTCCCATCAGCTACCTGCTGGATTTTGCACAGAACTTTGCTCCCTGGGTCAAACAGCCAATTAGCTTAAACTGTCTGTAATTTGGTTGCCATTAGCAGAGTGTGGCTGTTCTCCCTGCTGGAGAGTTATTCTACCAGAGCCTCACACTCAAATGTTGTTTTTCGTTGCAGATACGAAATAACCACGTTGTTGTCAGGCATCTCAGCTCCGTGCTGAAGGAGTAACTCTGAAAGCATTTTCACAGTCCTGGCTGCCTGATGGTCTATTTACATCCCATTTCTGCTGCTTCTGACCTAATTAGATCCCTTAATCCTTCCAACCAAAGTGGTTCTCTCTGGATCTCCAGAGCATGTCCTGTTGGTGACCACTGAATTTCAAGGAGTTCCTTGCACAGGAAGAAATCTCGTGCAATGCCACAAGGACCCTTTTGGAGAAACAAATTCTGGTTGATTTTTTTGGTAGTTGTTTCTTTCAACATTATTCTATGAACAAAAAACAACTCGTTTCTCATTTTGCTCCTTCAGAGTAGCAAAAAAAAAAATTTAAAAAAGCATTTTCTGTAATTGATTTTTACTACATCTTCAACACGCCTGGTGTAGTGCAGTTTATATCTCTCCGTAAGAGAAGACAGACAAATGTTTTTAAACTTGATTCTTTTCTGTATCAGGGAAAGGAAAAAAAAGCAGCAAACAAATGGGAGCAATTTCATGTCTGAAGCAGAAGGAACAGATTGTTTCTGTGTTGCAGATGTGCCTTTTACATAAGGTTTCTGCTTCCCCTGAGGTACCCCTGAGTCAAGGATTCTGCCCAAAATAGGTTGGGATGTCAAGCAGCAGCTTCTGTCAGTTTGTCAGGAAGGAAAGGGAAAAGTCAGGTTCACAATTAACCACCGAGATATAAATACCAATTTGGCAAAGAGAGTTTTAATTAAACACAAAATCGAGGCAAACTTATTTTCATTGCAAAGTTTCTAAGGGGAAGCACAGCACAGATGAGCTTTATAAGCCTGATAATAGCTTTTGTGAGTGTGGTGTTAAAGGGAGGGAGGAAACGTGGTTGAATTTCTGTCCTGGGATAAAAGGAAGGATGGATCAGCCCTGGGAGTGGTGGTTTGGACTTGCCCCAGCTCCATAATGGAATGTTTGGTCTTGCAAAATTCCCAACAATGTCGCCCCAACCAGCATTACACATCCTACTTCATAGATTCATTGGGAGCTTATTATATAAATGAACATGTGCTAAATTTATCCGACTTTCTAATGGAAATTGTAAATTCAATTATTATAATTATCTACCTATCTCTGCTATTTCTTTCTGCCTAATTTGCTTGCAGAATCTGAGCTCGGGTAGGTTTTGAGCTTGTTATTTATAGCATATATATTTAGCTTTTTCTCATTGTATTTGCATTGTCTGTGCTTTTCAGAACCAGGTTTTCAGGGCTGATTTGATTGTTCTCTGATCAATATGAAGGGGCTCATTTGCTTGAGAAATGCCTTTGATCTAATTGAATTGAGAATTATTGCCAATAGAGTGTTATTTAAATTCAAAATGGATTTGCACAAATGATGCTATCAGCAGAGTTGTTTTTTTTTTTTTTCCTGTTGATGAATATGAAGTTAAAGAGAGCAAAGCAGGGAGGAAAGTTTTATGTTTTGTGCTGTGGTTTTGAGGAGCACGTGGTTTATGCAGTTTGAAGGCAATGTCAGCTCCATGAGATGTTGGATGTTCTGCAGACCACCAGCATTTCCCAGAGCTTTCCCAGAGCCCTTGCCTGGATAAAGGACTGTAATTCAGTAAGTTTTCAGGGATTTTGGAATCTTCAGATCCTAACTGACATTTATTCAGGTGCCTTAGCAGGAATTCAGGAGTTAACGTGCCAAGTTAAGAAGGGGATTTGCTCAGGTAGAAGAAATGTTTAATGGTTCTGGCTGTTACACTTCAGAGGCAGATCAGCAGTAGCAATTTAATTAAAAACCAAACAAATTCTTCAATTTTGCATGCAATAAAAAAAATCAAATTCTTATTTTGTCTGCCTTTCATATTAATCTGTTGACTTTCCTGACTCAGGGATCATCATGTCCCACTGAAAGCTGGGAACAAGCAGTGCTTGTTTGGAGCCTGCTGTGGGAATTCATTCAGGGTGGGAAAGGGCACTAAAATCATCCAGTCCAATGTGTCCCCAGCACTGCCAAGGCACCACTGACCCCTGTCCCCAGTGCCAGGGGTGGGTGCCTCTTTTCCAGGGAAATGCAGCTTTGCAGGCTGGGCACCCTGCTCCAGTGCCTCACTTTTGGTTCAGAGATTCTCCCTCAGCAGCAGATCAAACCCAGTGAATTTCCAGAGAGCATTTTGAAGGCAAGGATGACACTGGGAGCAGGCAGAAAGAGCAGTGGTGCTGCTGGAGAGCCTGGGGAATGGACAGTGGATGGATGGAGCAGAATGGAGAGACAAGCTCAGGGCATGGCTCACCTGGTGGTGGTTTGGGATCCCTCTTCCTCTACCTGGAGAGTTTGGAGGAATGAGGAAAGGTGTCAAATGGATTGGAAAGTGGTGCTGTCCAGGCAGGACACAGGAAAGAGATTCCAGCAAAGATCCAGCCTACCTGGCTCAGCCAGTTTGCATTCCTAGCTTTCTCCTTAGTCTGTGATCAGTAAAACTGTCTGGTGAAATCTCAGATTTGTAACTCCATGCTGGCTTCTCCCTGCTTGGCAGAGCATATTTAGTTACCTTCAAGGTTGTTTTTCTTCTGCTCTTACCTCTGAAAACTCCCAGTCATGAGATTGCAGGAGCATCAGGAGCTGCTCTGAGCAGAGGAGGGACTGAGATGTCCTGGCATCACCCTGAACCTCTCCTCTTTTTGGAACAGCATCCTTGGATAGCTTTGAAAAGGACCAGCTTTGGTTCTCTGCACTTCCATGGTGTTTCTCAGTTGTTTAGATGCTGGGATCTTCCTGATCCTGACAAACCATCAGGAATTTTGTCCAGCACTGAGGAGTTGCAGGTGCTTGGGCTGTCCTTGCAGAGGTGACTGAGGAATTTGGGCAGAGCTGGTGCTGGTCAGGCTGTGGCTGTGTGGAGCCAGCAGCTGGTGCTGGGCTGGCTGAGGCAGGACGGGAACAAAGAGCTGGAAAAGCATCATTGGGAAGGAGGAAAACAAAAGGCCCTGACTGGGGAGTGGGGGAGAATCACAGGGAAAAACACAGGCAGAGCAGAGTTGATGAGCTGTGACACTGCAGCACAGCCTCTGGGAAACCTGTGCTGCCTGCACAGCCCAAATCTGGGAAAACCTGTCTGCAAACTGCAGCGTTCCCAGCACTTCCTGCAACAGATTTTATCACTTCCACGTTTCAACATTAGGGAAAAAGGTCTTCATTTCCATAATGGCTTTTTTCATTTATCCAATTAGTTGGTGATTCTGACTGGGGATGCTCTTCTGTTGTGAGATACATAAAGTGATTTTAAATATGTATATTTGAATGTTCTGCATTTCTGTTTGGAATATTTTAATTATAACTCTGTGTAATAGTAAATTGTGAGTGACTTATTCCTCTAAATGATTTTAATTTGTTTATTTTTTGTTTTTTTGTTTAAATATTTCTGTTCTTAGTGTGCAAAATCCAAAACATAGTGGAAAAGCAATGAAGCCATTGCTTCAGCTTGGGTTTTAAGCTCTGAGTGCCTAGAGGCTGAGGGCAATCGATACAGACCAAGAAATCAATATCCTATCATGATATAAAGTGGGGAATTATAAACTTCTCCAGTGCTTTCAAAAGATTTTTCCCTTAAATATTGAGCTAATTAATCCTGAACTCTTGAGAGATCTTTTTTCACTGTCAAAAGTCAAAGTTATATTTAAAAGTAATGGCTGAGAGCATTTTGTGCTCACAGCAAATTCTTCAGGGAGAGGTTTTTGTGAGCCAGAGGCCTCCAGACTTACCTGCTGCCTCTTGCACTTAGAGATGACTCAAAAGCATTCCAGAATTCCATTCATTCCTCACCTGATCTGCCCAAATTGGTTTTTTTCCAGCACCTGCCTCCTCCGCTGCCCAGCAAGACTCCGCCGCCGCCGCCTCCCAAGACGACGCGGAAGCAAACGTCTGTTGACTCTGGGATTGTCCAGTGAAGGAGGAAGCGGGATTTTTTCCAAAGATAAAGCTGTAACAATTCATTTCCCTAAGTATTTTATGGTCTATAATGTTTACCTCATTCAGGCGTGCAGTATCTAACATTTAGTGCAATGGTAACTCCGTAAGAAATCCGTTTCTCGCCACGTGTCGGAACCAACACTACATCCCCCTGGTTTTGGGGTTATTCCCTCCCATAACTTGAAAGAAATCTGGATTTCTACTTGAGACTGGGAACTCCAGCAACTGACAAAACCCTCTTCCTAAACCTTCTCCCTGCTTCTGGATAATGCCAGGCACAGAGCTAAATGTGGAGATTAAAATGAGAGCTGGAAATGTTGTACCTAAAGATTTTGGGTACCTCTGGAGCTTCAAATGAGCAGAGTTTTTGTAGCTAATCTCAGTGTATATAGGAATCAATGACAATATTCACATGGAATTCAGGGCAAGAGGAGGTTTCCCAGTGAGGTGAAGCTGCTGTCGGATTTCCCTGAATAACAGGGATTTCAGCCCCGGGTTATAAATCAGACACCACTGTTTTGTGAAATTGGTGTGTGTTACAAATAACCTGATTGCAGTGAGCAAAGTGGGGATTTGGGGCTGTCTTGGCCACAGTGACCGTGATGCCATTGAGTTTAAAACCTCTGGTGAGAGGAGGAAAAGTGCCAGCCAAACCTCCCCTCTGACCATGAGGCTGCTCAGGGAATTTGTAAGGTCCCCTGGGAAAATGTTCTTGCAGGTGCTGGGGTCCATCAGTGCTGGTCCCTTTCTAAACATCACCTCCCAAGGGCACAGGAGCAGCAATTCCCAAATGTTGGAATTCAAGCAGAGCTGGCTGGGCTGAACAGGGATCTCCTCTTGGATATCACGTGGAAAAGGAAGGTGTGTGCCAGTGGAAGCAAGGTCAGGGGGCACAGGAACAACACAGAGGTGCAGCTCCCCGCTGTAGGGAGAAAATTCCTGTGGTCAAAGCTCAGCTGGAGTTGGAGTTGAACTGTCAGGAACCAAAAAAAAGAGTTTTTTTCAAACTTATCAATGGCAAAAGGCTGTGTAAAAATATAATCAGCCCATTCTAGGGTGGGGATGGGCACCTCACAAACAGGACAGGGACAAGGCAGGCGTGTTTAGCACATCCTTTGTCTGTCCTCAGTGTGGGATCCAAGAGGGTCCCAGTGCCCTGAGCTGGAGGGCCACGACTGTGACAGTGCTCAGCTCCCAGTCAGCCTGAACCTGCAGGACCTGCAGCCCCAGCTGAATCCCTGCACATCTATGGGCCCTGATGGGATTTACCAGAATCCTCAAAGAGCTGCTGATGTCATCACAAAACCCCTCTTGATGATTTTTGAATGGTCTGGGGAATCCAGAGAGGTCCCAGCTGACTGGAAGCTGGGGAATGTTGTCCTGGTTTTCAAGAAGGACAAGAAGGAGGACCCTGAAAACTACAGGCCCAGTAAAATCATGGAGAAGATTATTCTGGGACACCTGGAAAACACCTGGAGGACAATGCAGTCATTGGTCACAGCCAGCACGGCTCCATGAGGGGAAAGTCCTGCTTGTGACCCCAAATTCCTCCTACAGCAGGGTCACCCAGCTGGCTGATCCAGGAAAGCCAGGAGATGGAATCTTTTTGGACTTCTGCAAAGCTTTTGATAGCGTCTCCCACGGATCCTTCTGGACAAAATGTCCATCCTACAGCTGGAGAAACACATCTCAGGATGGGTGAGCAGTGGCTCAGGGGTGGGGCAGAAAGGGTGACAGTGGCTGGGGTGACACCAGGCTGGCACCAGTCCCACTGTAAATAAGACATTAAAGTGTTGGAAAGTGTCCAAAGGAGGCACAAGGATGGGGAAGAGCCAGGCTGGAGGAGAGGAGACTGAGGGGAGAGCTTGGTGGGTCAGCAGCATCCTCTGAGGGAACTGCAGGGGCAGGAACTGAACTCTTCATTGGCACAGTCAGGGACAGGACCCAGGGAACAGCCAGGGCAGGGTGAGCTTGGATTTAGGGAAAGGTTCTTCCCCAGAGGGTGCTGGCACTGCCCAGGCTCTCCAGGGAATGGGCACGGCCCCGAGGCTGCCAGAGCCCCAGGAGGGTTTGGACACTGCTCCAGGGTGGGATTTTTTGGGTTCTGTGCAGGGATGAGAGCTGGGCTGATGATCCCTGGGGGTCCCTCGCAGCTCAGCGTAATCTGTGCTGAATGGGCTCTGTAAAACCAGAAATTGGGGATCACCCACTGCCACTGTCACTCAGTTGGACCTTCTGGGTGTCCATGAGGGGGAGAACAAGGAAACCTTGGAGCTGCCAGCAGCACGAGGATGTGGGAGAGAAAACTGAGCGGAGAGGAGACTCCTGGTCATTCTGAACCTAAATGTTGAGTACAGAAATGGGAGGAGCTTTTTCCTTCCTCTATTGTGTAATATTTCATGTTGGATTAGGATGAACTGAACGGAATCACTTTGTCCTTGTGCCATCATTCTGTACAGTGTTTGTATATATGATGGTTTTTAGAATGTTTTAATTTTTATGGTGCCTGCTTTTCACGTCATAATGATTAATGTGCCTGCAAAGAATGCTTTATGTGTTCTTAATTTTCTAATTGCTGAAAGTGTAAAGAAAAGACAAAATAGTGGGTGTTTTTTTCCAGATATTAAGCTCTGATAAGTATCAGACTGATGGGATGGGGTTTTGGGAGGGAGGAAGGAAACTAACTTTATATTCTAGTGTTTTTTTATTGTCATCACACTTTGGTTTTTTTTATTATCTACAATCTTTTTACTCTTACAGTAGATTGTTTTTAAATATACCACTGACTCAAAAAAATAAACTATTATTTTAAAAGCTTGTCTAAGAAAATGAATATGTTCCCTGGGTAATTTTGGTCCTCACTGCAGAATTTTGGGAACTACTGCATTATGTAGAAGGCTGTGTATACACTTTCTTTTTTTCAGGACAGTTTAGGAGGGGAACTCGTGAGAAAACTGAAATCTTTTATTGTGCTGTTGTGGCTGTCCCTGCAGGTTGGAGTTAAAACACACATCAGCACTAAGAACATCCATCTCTGTGTGCTGTCCATGCCCAAAATGATGGCTTGGGTATCTCTAAGTGAATGCTTCAGAAAACAGATGAGTTTTATGTAATATTTTCCACCTCAGGTACCTGCTACATGATGCAAGTTCCAAGCAGAAATGACTTTACACAGCAATAAAACAACACTGTTGTTACAAAGGCAGAAAAATTGCCCTTCTCATAAAAAGTGGCTCCTGTGGTCAATTACATATTCTCATTCTTTTGCCTTAAACCACGGTGTCACTTTGGATCAAACAAACACACTTTCCCTTGCTGTAAAATCAGCTCCTGGAGTGTCTCAGGATTTACTGCTGGATCTCATCCTGCAATTCCCTCTTTGTTTTGTTCCTATAATCTCTGCTCAAGAGGAGCAGGCAGGGAAGGATTCTTGGCTGCAGTCAATCAAATACCCATAGTCAATCAATAATGTATTGCACCTTTCATTCTGTAAGTCTTGTATTTAATTGAGAATTGCTTTGGAGGCTGCTCTTGCTGGGATGCTGGGTGAGTTTCCTCTTTTCTGTTCCATTTGCTTCCTAAAGGATGGGAAGAGCTTTCCCATCTGCCTTTCAGTGGATACCTGTAAATTGTATTTCTGCTAATGTGTTTGTTTTCCCACGCCCTTAGCAGATTCCTGTGCTCATGCAAGTGTTATAATTCGGCCCTGTGAGACTCCTCAAACAAGAGCTGCACTTCCAAATCGGTCTCACAGCACAGACTCCAGATCTCATCTGTGTGTGTGTTTTACAGATTGAAAATCAGGCTCTCAGAGCTGCTCCCAGACCCCAGTTGTCACCCTTTTACAACCTCACAGCTCCTAGGCTGTGACCTGTGCAGAACCCCGAATGAATCGGGGCCCTCCTCAAAGTGGGCTAAAAACACACGAGCAAAGCCAGCAGCTAACTCCTCACAGGCAGTGGACAGTCCTGGGAATATTGTTATTTCCCATGGTTTGCTCTCTCCTTTTCAATCCAGCTGGGAGTCAGAGCATCCCAGTGCCTTGGGAATTCCTTGTCATGTTGTTTGGACACAGCTGGGCTAATGCAGAAGAGCTCGTTATGAAACAATTCAGAAAACTTATTTGACTTTAACCAGTGATAGGATCTCCTGTCCCTTCCATCTGCCCCATTCCTGTGGGAATCCATCCCCAAAGGGCTGCAAGTTTTTTGCTTTTCCCAGCCCGTGTCCTGAGCTGCATGTGGAGAAGGTGAGGTTGGGACAACCTAATTTAATCATCACCTCTTTATCCTCCCAGTGCTTCCACCCCAAAGGTCCCACTCAGACGTGATTCAAATCAATATTTCTGCTTGCAAAGGTGACCCATCCATCTTTTCCATAGCAGACCTTGGCCAGGGAATCCACAGGGGCCACGTTTTCACCTTTTGGGACAAGTCAGGGATTAACCTCCTCCAAGTGCTGCCCCTCTGCTCACACTTGAGAGCAGCTCCTCGGGGCTTTGTGACACAAATTGCACTGAAAGAAGGAATGCAGAGATGCCAAGTATTGGATAGTGGAAAAAACAGAATTTCAGTGGCCACTCATTTTCACTTCTTGAAAAGCAGCTTGAATTCACTTAGTGCAAGTTAACTCACAGAGCCAGGATAAACAGAGATTCCTCAGTTCCATTTCCCTGAGTCTCAGGCTGGGAGTGAGGGTGGATTTTACAGGTGCACAGATCAGTCCCACACAAAACCACACAAGACAGGGGTTGTTTGATTTTTAATCACATTTATTTTCACTGGGAAGCTCAACACAAAGGTCACCCCTCAAGCTGGTTCCTGTAATTGACATTTATGATTACTGAGATGTCTCCCATGATACCACAAATTCTGAGGGTAAAAAAGTTTTTTTCATTCAGTTTTATCTTAACATAGGCATTTTTCTTTAGCTCGCCTGTAGTTCTGTGTGACTTTACAAAGGAAAAGGATGAAAAATTTGCAGTGAAAACGTATTTATTTGTGATATATGGATAGAGATTCACGTGAGTGCAGGTACAGCTGTGTATTCATGCACACACATCAAACATGTATTTTTAATGTGATACATCTCACTTCACTGACTGGTTGAGTCTCCACCTTCTTGCTTCATGTTAAGCATCTTCCCTGTCATTTCTTGGGGCCTTTTTGGGGACCATCGTGTGCCAGAAGTGTGGCGTGGTGTGAGGCCAGGCTGTGGCTGCATCCCTGCACAAACCAGGTAAGGCTGTTCCAGTTTCCATCCTTGCCCTGTGATAAATCAGTAAATTTGGAGCATGTGTAGAGATTCTCCCGTGGCAAACAGACCAAGCACTCGAGTGATGGTGAGCACTGAAATTCAGGGTTTTCCTCTGTCCTCGTTTTTTAGCAGAAATTGGAAGCGTGAGATCTGGCTGCGCTGACATTTCAATTTCCTCTCGTTCTCCTTTTGGACTTTCCATGGCTCTAAACTGAGTTTCAGGCTTGCAGTGCCATCTTCTTGGCATGCAGAAAGGTGGGGATCAGGATAAATACTTGATTGTTGTATGGGGTCTCTCCAGCTGTTCTCCACTGAGGCTATTTATGGGATTTTTAATTTCCCTTGGGTTTTTGGTTTTTTTTTTCATAAATATTCTGCAGACATGAATAATTACTGTAAATTGTGTTTCTCTGTTGAGTGACACTTTTATTTTTCATTTCCAACGTGTGTGGCATTGTATTCAAGCACTTCAAAGGGAAGTGGCTGAATTAAATAACTCATTTCCCTGCTAAGGAAGGTGTTTGTGGACTGCAGTGCTGGGGACACGTCCTGACCCCCTTGGGATGATGTTAGGATCCAAATATTGAGAGATTCCTCTGCCCAAATTAATCTGCACAGGAAACCACGTGCTGGAGTGCACAGTTCTGATTTTATTTCACAGTAAATGGGACGTAGAAGAAATAGAAAAGAGATGAGAGAGATGAAGCAGAACATACTTGTCATCAACACTCCAGGGAGTCCTTAGAAGGAGGAAGCAAAACCAAACCCAAATGTGACACTGGCTCCTTTTAAGGCATTTTTGGTGCATTCTCCTGTTGCTGGCTGCTCTTCCCAAATTTCTTCCATTCTCCCATGGCTGTGCTTGCATTTCCCCAGTGCTGCAATCCCAATTTCAAATGAGTTTCCTCTCTCCATCCTCCCCACGAGTGGTGCCAGATCACTGCTGTGACAGGGGAGAACACAGAAAATGAACTAAAATCTTTCTTGGACTCCAAAAATTTTTCCTGGACTCCAAAAAGAATTCCTTAGCAGGATGTGAAGGAAGCTGGGGGAGTGAAGAAGGACCCAGGCACCGTTCAGAGCAACGCTCAGAGAGGTAAAACAATCCCAGCAGCTCCAGCCTAAGCAAAACATTCTTTAGCTCAGCATCAATTATGCAGCTTAAACCACTTATTAACATCCAATTTAACAGGATGAGCACTGGTTTGGGGAGTGTGTTCTTGCAGCAAGAGGGGAAGGCACTGCAGAGGGCAGGAAGTTGGGTTAAGCTGTAATTATTGTTTCTCTGTAAATTAGATGTGTTTGCCTGTGTTTAATTGCATGAGCTCCAAAGATCACCAAGAAAAAATCCAAAAGAAATCAACTATAAATTAAGAAAAATATTAAAAGTAAAACACCTTATTTCAAAAGATGAGGCACTTATTACTTACTTGTGTTGCAGGAGGCCTGTCATGAGATATTATTTTGCATTTTATTGAGATCTGGTTGTCAATAATATTCAGTTTACTGCCTATAAACTTCCTTCCAAGAGTTTATTACTCTGTACAGTTGGCAAATAGATTTGTTGTTGCTTTTTTTTCCAAGCAGTTATTGTTGAGTTGCTCCACATAGGGAAATAATAGGAAAATAAAAAAAGAGAAATAATGGGATTTTTAAAGAAGTGTATGTCTTTCCTCACTCTGTGGTCCCTGTGGAGGTGTGCAGAGATCCGTGGGAGTATTTGAGCAGGGAATAGAAGTACAAGTTTAAACACAAAATCCTCTGGGGA